CTGTTGCTCAGAGCTCAAACTCTTCAGCGAGCTCTTAACCAACTGAGCCACTCGGCCGGCCCCCTCATCGCCTTTTTATAGATGAAGAAACTGAGCACAAAGTGATCAATCTTATGCGCCATTGTATTTCTAATCTTAAGCCTACTGTCTGACATCACAGTTTCTAGGGCCAGGGTTGCACCTTCATAATCAGGCCACTGTCTCACTCCTTATTTTGTGAGATGATTATAGGACAATGATTCTGCAACTTTCTGAGGCATGATAATCTCCAGAGGTTCTTGCTAATTTGATAGGTCTGGAGAGAAGTCCATGACTTTGCATTTTTAATAGGTACCCCAAGCATTTAGTTCTAAAGTGATACCTGGGCAATTTTTTTTCTGAACAATATTGTTGTGCTCTATCAGTTGATAATCAACACAGCTAGATATAACACTTGTGGATCATGATTGTGGCTCAGCTGTCAAAAGTAGAAAGATAGAAATGGTGACTTCAACAACAATATAAGGAAATCATCAGCTGTAATGGAATCTGGCTATCCACTCATATTGCAGGGCTTCTCAAACTTGACACAATTGACAGTTTGAGCGCTATAATTCTTTCTTGTGGGACGGCTTTGTTTTGCATTTTAGAATGTGTAGCAGCAACTCCAGACTTCACCCACTATTTGCCAGGAACTCAGCCTACCCCTCAAGTTGCAACAACTGAAAATATTTCCAGACGTTGATAAATGTCCCATGTTGTCAAATTGCCTGTAGTGGGGATGCACTGCCGTAATGAAAGAGAGCTGGCTTTCTCCAGTCCCTTCCTTAGCAATTTCTGGCATTCTAATCTAGAATCATGTAAGATACCTGATGAGTTTTCCTATGAGTGTTCCTCTATGAGACACTATGGTTTGTTTGATCAATACAGCATCCCTTCTTGGCCTTTTTCGGAACTCACTGTATGTGCCACCCCTCCCTCCTTCACCCCCCACCCTACATACAGTTGGTTCATTAAATCAAATGAGACAGACTGTCAGGGTCAAGACATGGCTGAAATCTAAAATCATCATTCCTTCTTCAGGTTCCTGAGGGCTCAAATCCCTCTTACAGAGTTTTCAGGGAACTATAATTAACTATGACAGCAGAATAACATCAGTTTCCCAGAAGACACACAAGTATATTATAAAAAGGAAAAGAAAAATCAATGGAAAAGACATAGAAATAAAGTCAGATAAAAATGCTTGAAAAAAAAAAGAAATGAAATAAATTTGAAAATATTTCAACACAAAGTTGGCAAAACACTAGATTTAGAAAAGTACAGGAAATTTCCCAGTCTGGATATTACTCCAGTCCTTTATCTTTTACAAGGATAAACAGGCAACATGTAACTACCCAAGGGGGTATCACCTTTCTTCTTTATTAATTTCTTTTAACTGTTCTCAGTATCTTTCTGTTGCATATGAGAACAATAAGAGTAAAATCTCATTATTTTTGATGGGAGAACCATCGACTACTATTGTGTCACATTATGCAGTATCATATTCCCATTAATATATGCAAAAATCTTACTTTACCAAAATGCAAAGAGTAACTAGATAAGCCTTTGTTATTCACTACATACTTCTAATGAATTAATATCTAATTCTTGGCTAATCAGATCAGTGAATTAGTGTGTGCATCCAATGAAACAATTAAATAGCTATCCAAAGCACATTCTTGATTGAAGCAGAAAATAATAAAAAAAGAAACTATACCGGTTTATATTGACATCAACTTTTAACTAAATTTATTTGCCTCAAAAATCAATTATAATGAAACTTTATTGTTATATAAATTATTTGGTATGAGCTACCTTGACTAAAAAGTGCTTTGTGGAAGAGATTAATGTTGCCTAATTAACATTTAGAAGAAGAAGCAAAACAAGGAGGTCGATACGATTTTCATAGGAGACTAAAAAGATGGAGAATCACTCAAAGAGAGGAGAGAAAAGCCCAGGATGGCACCCTATGTCATTGCAGACAAGAAAATACCTGTAATGTCATTACCTTCATCCAGTTTTTCTAAGTGATTTCAAAAGGTAGGGTAGCAACAGTTACCTTACCATCCTGCACACACACTGTTACTTCTACCTTGAACTGTTTGCTGGGAGACATGCTCTCAAGTTACTAGGTGGTAAATTGCAGTTCACTCCTCATCTGACCAATTCCAGGTGGTAGGGAGTGATTCAAGAGTCCACCAAAGACCCCAACCCCATGCAGCTTCAGTGGGAAGCAGGGATTTAGGAAGGCATGAAGGCAGAAATGGTTGGACAGAGTGAGCTTGCTACCACCATCACCACCACCACCACCACCACCACCACCTTCTTTGCCTGTACAGTTGTTCAAGTTGCCAGAGGCTTTCTGGTTGCCATGGCAACTGTTGAGCTCTGCTGCAAACTCAAATTAGAGCCTCTGAAGTTAGGTACCAAACACTGGAGCTCAACATGAACAAAGACAACTGGGGAGGGACAACAGAAGAATTACCTCAGTGATATGTCTATAGCTTCTGTGGCTCAGAGGACCTTTTTTAAAAACTGGATTTTTGTTCACGTTTTTGTAAAATGAGATAGTTCTTGCCAGGCATTGTTCATTAGTACTATCTTCTGCTGACAGGAGAGAGAAGAAGACTGCACATCTTCTCACTCCTAAAAACAGAGGAAAGGGGTTAGGAAACGCAATTGCCAGGAACGCACCGAGCCTGCCCAACATCTCCTAAGACTCATTTGTGCCGGGCATTGTGCCAGGTGCTGGGGCTGCAAAGCGAAATGAGACACCACCCCACACTCAAAATTAACGGTAATTAACAAAAATTAGCGGAACCTTCGCGAGCCCGGGGAAAACCAATTAGGCACTGCAACCTTCCCACGGGTCTCGGAAGACAGATTCCGAATCCAAACGCCGGAGAGGAAAGAGGCAGTGTCCCCCTCCAAATAGAGTTAGGCGGGAAGGAAGGCCGGGAGGAAGAAGGTGACTGCATTTCCCTCGGGAGGGACTCTGTCAAGGCCTCTCAAACGTTTCCCCGAGGCTGCGAGGGAGGAGAGGTTTGTTTTTTTAGAAAGACGGAGCCCTTTTCCCTACTGGGCTCGATTTCTAGTAGGGGAGCCCCGCCCCTTGCCGCCGTTGATTGGCCCAGTTCTTTTACAGATAATTTATGCCAGCATCCTCTCGGTTTGATTGGCTCTTCTGCTCAATTCCGCCGAGAGTCGCATCCTACCTGGTCCGGAGGTGTATTGCTTTCCCACACTCTCCCTGGTCGCACTCACCCAGCTGCTGCTGAGCTGGGCGCGAAAGTCCCGGCTCTGAGAATTTAGCGGAAGAAACGATCCCGATGGGTTCTTGGAAAGCTTTTCTCGTTTCCCCTTTTCTTCTGTGGAATCAAAGTAGAGGGGTGAGGCTCATGTTCTTGTTACTAGCCCTGCATTTGGGAAACTGGTGAGTAAATGAGAGGACTTAAGACCGTTCTTTAGTATCTACCCTCTTCCCCTCATTTCTCTTTCTTTCAAAACATCATTCTGAGTTAAGTAATTTGCATTTTCCCGGGCAAATGTGCGATATTGTATTATTTTATTTTCTAATTAGATCTAGCCATTTTCAGATAGAATGAAATTAGCCTGTGTGTGAAACACCGAAGTGAGTTCAGGTGTTTGTGACAGGAAGCACAGTCAAAATGAATCAAGATTTAGTTACTGGGAGTGGGGGTGGGGAGTAGAAATCCTTTTGCTACTACATTTAGTGAATGAATGCCATTGATAAAATTCCCGATGATTTTGCATTTTAAAGACAGTTATTTTAGAAGCTAACAAGTTTCATAGCATAGTATGTATGATGTTTTCTACATACTAATATTGCTGTTTACCCAACCCCCTTTTATTTTTGCTATGCTGGAGAAAACAAAGTTTTATATCAAAAGATTTTAAATATGGCTAAAAAATCGAGCAGGGTGGTGGGTTATATTTAAGTTAGAAATAACTATGTATATTTTATTGAGCCATATTCAAATGATTTTAATTTTAATTGGTTGTCTACAAATAAAAAGTATATGTCCTGGCTCTGTGTGTGTGTGTGTGTGTGTGTGTGTGTGTGACAGTGTGTGACAGAGGCAGGGCAGGTGAAGGGGTGCAGGGGAGAGAGAGAGAGACAGACAGAGAGAGAGAGAGAGAGAGACATTACCAACCCCAAACCTCCAATTTAACAGGAACAAGACTTGGGCCGCTTGAGCTGCAATACCTTTCAATAAAACTTTGAAGTCATCCTGGAAAAAAAAATAAAATGCTCAGGTACTGTATCTGGCTATAGGAATAGTTGGAGACTCAAGTTAAAATATATCAATTAAGACATAGATCTTATAAAGGTCTTGGACATACTACTCATATCATATAACTGTGTTTTATGTACATTTAAATGTACATTTAAAATTATATTATTGTATTATGTGATCCTGCTTAGAACTCAAGAATAAAATACAGTCACTATGCAGATGGAAACATGCCTTTAAGACTACTTGCGTCATTACTAAATGAATTATTGTTATGATTAATTTCAGTCTATAGCTAAAGTAAATGTTTTTTTGTGAATACCACCCAATACAACAACTGTGTTTTCTCTCTGAAAAAAGAGAGTGGATTAAAGTATGCCATGTAACATTAGACTTGCCAGAAAATATTTGACACTCAATGGTTTTTAAAAGTACTAATGGTTTTAGTTTATTACCCTTTTCCCTTAGAACTTCAATGTTTTGCATGGACACAAACATACTATTGATACTTGATTAATTATTCCTTATGTTATATCTAAGTTGTGTCATGATGGCTTATTTCTCTGAATATATTATAAAATTATAGAAGCTATTTTGGTAGAGCATGTGTCATAGTATTACATAGTATCTTCAGAGTATTACAAATGAAACTATGTTCTCATAAATAAATTAAAAAAATTACCCGGTGGTTTTCTGAAATAACAACCTGTATGCTCCTTTATCATTATAAGTGCAAGTTTCCCTTGTAACCTCATAGAAAGCTGCTTACTAAAGGGCATGCTTGCTAAAGGGCATGCAGAGATGTTTTGTTTTAAATCATATCTTTTGTTTTTGATCATAGTTTTTACACTATGATCATCATAATTGGCTCCAGAATTCCCTTCAAGCTGCTCAGAATTAAAAAGTTGTGTGTTGTAGTGGCCGGTTATAGGCTCTGGCAGCCTGGAGACATGATTTTATCTGTGAAGAGCCCACAACCTCTGAACAGTTTCTTCATCTAGGAAATGAAGGATAATAGTAGATCATTTGATTTCTTCAACTTTTCATATGCAATATGGCTAAGATTTCAGCTGAAACATAAAATAACTCAATAGTTGCTTCTCTGACTTTCCTTAGTAGTTTTCAAGAGGGAAGTTCTAATTAGGAATTTCATGTACTTTTTGCACCTTACTTATGAGTGAGAGAGAGATGATATGCAGTTAAAATAGATAATTCATTTTATCGTAGTACTATAGATTACCTGGGTTATTCTGGCCAGTGGATACGTATTAAAAAAATAAAGCTATAGGTTGCTGTTATAATTAGCTTTTAGGGCCTCAATTATAAGAGTTTATGTCTTTTTAAAGTAGTGACAGTATAGTGAACTTTTCATCTTTTTAATATTTAGTTGGAGATAACTGATGTCAACATATATAAACCATTTGCATTCATGTTTCCTTCTCCCTTTCTTCTTTTGAGGAAGCTTTGTAAAACTAACCATAGATGATTCTGTTTGTAAGAATTTTGATATCATATGCTAGTTTCTAAAACAAGTCATTAAAGTCATCTATTCAAGATTTACTAAATTGGAAACTCTTATTTCTTATATCTAAGCAGGGAAAATAGCTTGTTTCCTCATTAGTTTCCATCAAGAGCACAAAGGAGAGACGCTATATTGATTTTTATATTGCTGAACTATTAAAACATCCCATTGTTGTAACTAAAAGCTGTATTCTTGGTTCCTATGTTTCATTCTCCTCGAGGCTCTATGGCACCCTAACAAGTTGGGTAAAATCTCTTGAGCTTGATCTGAATTATTTGTAACAATGCAAAAATATCTAATTATAATCAGGTTTTTAAAAAGAGTTGAAAGTGCTTTGAGATTGTAGCTGTCCTAAAAAGTAATTTACGATAAGCTTTGGCTAAGAAGTTATATTTTGAGAAAGCTCAAGGAAAATAACTTTTTTATTTTTTAAAACAATTTGAGTCAGTAACATACAATTTAGCATTCTGTTGTCCAAATGAAAATATTCAAATGCATGTGTTTTATAAAGTATATTATTTCCAAGTAATTTCAGTGATACAGTTTGTGGAGGTAGTTGTGAGTAAAATATGTATATATATATATATATATATATATATATATATATATATNAAAAAAAAAAATCTCCTTATGCTGGCCCTCTCTTCCGTTTAACTTAAACAATAATTTGATTGTATAAATTAAGGTGCCTGGGTTTGTTAATTTTGGTCATGGCAACTTGTAAATAGGAAAAGCAATGAATTCCTATAGTCTGATGGAAAGGAACAGGTCAAACAATAAGACCTGAATTTTGTCTATTTAGAGGTGGGCACTTAAGACCTATGCTATTGAAAGAGATCGCTTAATGACTCCATAAATATATGAAATGATTAAAGGTATTTATGTGTTTATTCAATACATTATATATAGACTATATATTGTATAGATGTTTATTGAGTAACTATTACTTGCTAGCCACTGCTTTGGAGAAAAGAGGTGATACACACAAATGAAATCTCTGCCTTCATGGTGCTATGTTCTAAGGAGAGAAAGGTACTGATCAAAGATACACATAAAGTTAAATATATACATATTATGATACTATTATTGTATACATAATATAATACCAGGTGTGATAAGCACTATAAATCTTTAGTATATACAATTTAAAAACACAGAAGTGACAGTTTGGAATACAGATAGTCTCCATAAATTGTGATATGGTCTATGAAATCAAGTGGCTGCTTTAAGTGGGCAGAGGACTACCTAGACCTATAATTTGGAACCATTAAGAATAATGCCTGGTGACACATAGTAAACACTCAGCAAATATTAACTATTATAGTACGACAGACCTGTACCACAGGCTAGCAAATGACTTCTAAATTTAATTAGGAGGAATGGAGAGAGGTGAGGCAGATGAAGATGGGGCAAGGGCCTCCGAAGCCAAGGGAGTAGCATAGGACAAGACATAAAATATGATATTGAGTGATGAGTTTAGGAACGTGTACTTGTGTTTTGACTGAAGTATAGAGTTTGTGGCCATGAGAAGAAAAGTGCACGGGGAGAACTAGAACATGACTCAAAATGTCTTCTTGCTCCAAAGAAGCCAACATTATCAGGGTGATGTTGAAAGTGGGATGAGAACACCACCCTCCCCTAATCCTCTCCACCCTACCCGTTAGACTGTGCATTCATTGTATTGGGTTGTCGGAAAAGTCATGACGTATTTTTTCTATGTTTTTCGTTGCAAAAATGCATCATGACTTTTCCAACAACCCAATAGAAATTACTATCCTGTGCCAGGTTCTGTATGAAGGGTTAGGGTGAATAAATTAGATTTGAAATCTACTCTCAAGTTAACAACAATGAAAACTAACATTTTTTGAGTAATTGAGATTATACATGTACTGTTTTAAGTGATCTCCATGTATTAATCCAGTCAACCCTTCGAACCACTCGAAGTTAAGTAGAATTCTCATCGCCTTTTTTTTTT